TTTTTTTTTTTTTTTTTTTTTTGAAAAATGTTTTTGGACATAGGAAATTCGGATTTCCAAACTATTTTTTTTTAGATCATTCTCTTCCTCTTCCCTGTGTAGTTTGATCAAATAATTAACGATTCACAAAGTAGTAAAAAAATAAAACAATAATAATACGTACCTATTAAGAGTTACGACCAGTGTATAATAATAATGAAAAACTATCTTTACATTTTACTTTACTGATTTTACGTAGCCTCGTTCATAACAACGGAAAACCTCATAACCAAAGAAACGGAATTTCCCGAAATAACCTATCTTAAAATATTTCACGGAATATGATTATACAAAAATTCTAGGAATCTAAGGACATCTATTAGGCTGACTGCAGCATGATATCGTATAAATAGAAATTATTTCATCGTTACTATTTATGCAGGCTCTTAATTTTTTTTTTTTATTATGGACAATTGCCAGGCGCTAAGACTAAAGTAAAGACTTAATAATTTATGAATTTTTGTTTTATTTTGTACACATTTTTCTCGGGGGAGGGGGGCACTTGGCTTGTTCCGGGGGCACTTGCCTATGCCTCCCCGAGAGATGCCTGGAAACACCGATCGAGCGTAGCGATTTGTTCATTGGTTCCGCTAATTGTAAACGGTGAATGGCATCAGTTGCCATTGCTTTAAAATATGTCAATAAAATGAACAGTTACCCGATTTTTATAAACTTGATTTTGTTTTATTGTTGCACAGATTTATTTCCGGGGCGGGGGGGGGGGTGTTACTGCCTTCGGGGTTGTGAGGGGTGCTGCCCCTTCCCCCCAGGGAGATGCCCGAAAGAACCACTGGTTTAAATGACTCCAACCTAANGCCTCCTGAGCAGGGTTTCTTTCAACTACATGACCGGGAGGGCACTGACCCCCCGGGGAAAGCCAGGTGCCCCCCTCCCCCAGAGCAAAAATATGTCCAACAATAAATCAACTGGCAATGCTGCCACTCCCCCCCCCCAAAAATCGGAAGGGCCCCCCCCCCCCCCGAAAATCTGAAGTGCCCCCCGGGGGGAAATTTCTGAAAGAAACACTGCTCATATGTTTGACTGAATGATGATTAACCCCACCTCATGGTTCATATCCGTCAGTGGCAACTTAGTAATCATAATCCCTACCCCGTTTCTACAGTTATTTGAACTGCAGATCTGTCCACAGATGGCAGTAACACTGCAGTTGATTCATTTTCGGCAGATAACATGCATGCCCTTTATCTGTCCACGCAGTCACAAGAGCTCTCATCCGCAGTGGAGCTCAGACACCTTTTGTTGTCAACAAAAAGAAGATGACGGTCTTGATGATGACTGCTTAAAGCGGGGATTCTCAAACTGTCAATCTTTTAATTGACAATGGAGCCAACGTAGATAATTGTGGAGATGCTGGCTGGACTCCTCTCATGCAATGTACACAGTTTGGCAAAACAGAGTGCATGAAATTATTGCTGGAGAAAGGGGCCAGTACAAATGCAAGTAATAACAAGGGAAATTCTGCCATTCATATCTGCTCAGCTAACGGTCATAAGGATGCCGTGCGATTACTCTTAGAATTTAACGCTGATGCCAAAATACAGAACAATGTGGGTCATACACCTTTAATGTTGAGCTCCAACAACGGGTACACAGAGATTGTGTTGTATCTTCTCCAAGATGATGGAGTTAAAAATACATTAGAGCTCAGAGAACACGAGAAAGGAGAAACTACTCTCATCATCGCAGCAAGAAGAGGACGAACAGAAATAGTAAAAAATCTCATCAAGGCCAAGTGTGATGTGAATGCGACGAACAAAAATGGGGACACAGCCCTAAATATCAGTGCATCTTTGGGACATAAGAGCATTGTGGATGATCTACTGGAAGCAAAGGCGGAAATTGAGACCGCCAACTCTAACGGGGACACGCCGCTGTTGTCTGCTTCTACCTTAGGACATCACCTAGTCATTCAAACACTGTTAAAATCTGGGTCAGGTATTAATAGAAAGGATAAGAACGACACGAAGACATCTCTTGTTTTGAGTGCAGAAAATGGATATCGCCAGGCAGCGAGGACTCTTCTAGAGGTCAAGGACGCTCATAGCAATGAAACTATACATCAAGCCATGGCTGCAGCCTTTAAACGCAGACGCTCAGATATCGTCGAGATCATTGAAAAACAGACTGGACAAAAACTGGAAGCAGGTATGACAACAATTCAAATAAATATCGAAAGAGGAAATATTACAGAAACCTTCAGAACAATGTATTATGGCTTTGACCTAATTTAAATAGGCTAAGACCAAAACCTCATCACATCTTTTTTTTGCTCTGATTATTTTTTTTAAAGGGTCTTTTTTTTTCGATTTTTATTTGAAAATGCAAGTGAGTTTAGAATCCCTTTGGTCTATGGCTATTAAAAGATTTTTTTTTTATTTGTATCAATGTATTAAAATGTTTACGAAGTAATCTACAGATTAAAAGTGGACTATAAACACACCGCCATACAAACAGGACCACTGTGTAATGGTCCTATCTATTTCAGAGAGTTTATCTGTAACTGTAACCGAAGAGAGGAAATCCACACCGTTAAAGCTAACGGGGAACATTTTTTTTTTTTAAACACCAAAGTAAGAACAAGTCCTTATTGCATATAGGCCTGGCCATGTTAGGTTAAAACACCAAAGTAAGAACAAG